CAACATCTCTTGATAGGAATGAGATATGAATAATGTTTAAGGTTGTAGTAGGCGTATGACGGTCAACAATATCACTTAGTCACATCACATGACATGAATCGAAATATGAATATATCGTTATTGCTAGGTCGTCACTCATAAGCTGCACATCATCCCTCCACCTGGGGTTGGTGTCAAATATGCAAGGGTGCGCTACATTTCATAGACCTGGGTGTGGTGATAAGAATGTTAAGGTTGGTAGGTCGTCGCCCAGAAGCGACGCGCCACTCCAATGCTCGGGGTTGGTGTCAAATATGCAAGGGTATGGTGGGGGTCGATGTGTTGTGAAGAACATAAAACAGGGTGGTAGATTGCGTTTTGGGACGTGTAATGTTGGCTCTCTAACGAAAAGATCATTTGAGCCGGCCGAGGTTATGAAGAGGAGGAATATGAGCATAATGTGTGTGCAAGAAACTAAATGGATTGGAGAAAAGGCACATGCGATTAATCCCGTAGGTTTTAAGTTGTGGTATTAAGGGAGAGAGAGGAACAGAAATGGAGTAAGCATTATTTTGGCGCATGATTATGTTGAGGGTGTGGTGGAAGTCTTTAGGAAGAATGACCACATCATGAGCATTAAGTTGGTAGTAGGAAATGAGATCATGTCTGTGGTAAGTGCCTATGCACCACAAGTGGGATTGGATGCATCTATCACTCAACAATTTTGGAAAGATCTTGAGGAAATGGTGTGACGAGTGCCAAGGAGAGAGAAGCTGGTCATAGAAGGTGAACTCAGCAGGCATGTAGGCCCAAGTCATGATGGTTATGAGAGTATCCATGACAGACATGGTTTCGGCACTAGAAATGAAACGGGGAAGAACATTCTGGATTTTGCCTCGACATATGAGTTGGCTGTAATGAACACTTGGTTCAAGAAAAGAGACTTGCACCTTGCGACCTATAGAAGTGGAGCTAATAGTTCCCAAATTGACTACTTTTTTAGTACAGACGACTTGGAGGAGTAGTTACACTGATTGTAAGGTTATCTCAGGTGAGAGTGTTGTCACTCAACATAGGATGCTCGTGCTTGATTTTCAAGGTAAGAAGATAAGGCGGGTTAAGGTACAAGTGGAGCCAAATATAAAGTGTTGAAGGCTTGAGGGAGATCTCCAACAAAGTTTTGCACACAAAGTATTGGAGGAAGATGTATGGTGTATTGATAATGATGCATAGGTGGATGATGTGTGATTATAAATGGAGTCCACCATTAAAAAGTGGCGAAAGAGATGCTCGGAGAATTTAAAGGATGTCTGCCAGCAAAAAGGAACACATCTTGGTGGAATGATGAGGTGAAACAAGCAACAAAGACCAAAAGAAAATACTACTGAAAGTTGGGCAAGAGTTGGAGCAATGAGTACATAGAGGAATACAAGGAGGCGAGAATAAAAGCAAAGAAAGTTGTAAAGGAAGCAAGATGGAAAGTGAACAAAAAATTGTATGTAAAATTAGACTCTAAGGAAGGAGAAAAGATATATATAGACTTGCTAGCATTCACGATCGTAAGACTCGAGATATCGGAAAAGTTAAGTGTGTACAGAATGTCGATCAAAGGGTATTAATGGAGGACAAGGAAATAAATGACAGGTGGAGGCCGTGGAGGTCATACTCTTGTTCAACGGAAATAAAGTGCAATGTATTGATGAACTTACTATACCATAGTGTATGGTAAATCGGGACTTTGTGAGAAGAATTCAAGTGACAGAAGTTAAAGAGGCTCTGAGAAAGATAGGGAGAAAGAAAGCAGTGGTCCCAAATGACATACCGATTGAGGCTTTGAGAAGTTTGGGAGAGAAAGGCATCGAGTAGCTGATACGTTTGTTCAACATGGTTTGGAGAATCAACAAAATGCTAATGAGCTGGAGGAAGAGTACTCTCATTCCTCTATTTAAAAATAAGGGTGATGTACAGGAATGTGCCAACTATTGAGGGATTAAGCTTATGAGTCACACCATGAAACTTTGGGAGCGAGTGGTTGAGCAAAGACTTCGAAAAATTGTGAAAATTTCAGAACATCAGTTTGGTTTTTTGTCTGAATGCTCAACAACTTGAAGTCATTCACCTTCTTAGACAAGTTGTGGAGAAGTACAGAGACAATAAAAATGGTCTGCATTTGGTGTTCATTGACTTAGAAAATGCACATGATAGAGTAACTCGAGAAGTCCTTTGGTGGGCCTTACTAGAAAAGGTATATCACGTAAGTATATAAGAATCACCGTAGATACATATGAGGCTTGTACTACAAGTCTCCGTACTAATGTAGGGAGGACTTTAAAGTTCTCTATTACTATCGGAGTGCACCAATGATCGGCTTTGAGTCATTTCTTATTTGCTATAGACCTATAGTCATGGATGAACTTACGAAGTCAATTCAAGAAGATATATCGTGGTTGCAGCAGGGGTTTTGCAGCAGACTGTCGGCATGTCAGAGTTGGGCTCATTGATTGGGTTCCCGAGTAGATGGTTGGGGACGCGGATCTGACAAGAAACGTCAGAAGTTCTTCTATTGATTGGTCAGGTTGGAGACGTCTTGCTCCAGATTGGTGTCGGTTAGTTTTCAACTCAAGGAATCAGAAACGGCAATACTCAGGACTGCAGCGGCAAGAAAACTATGATAGCAACATAAATCAAAGAGGGGACAACAAGACTGTTTGCGGAAGTTATTTGTTGCAGCATAAAAAATTATTTGCATAGGTTGTTCTTTGCTACGGGTTAGAGTAGAAAGCATTTTTTTCTTTAACGTAATAGGTTCTTTGCTCCAAATCAGTCGAATCAAATACTACCATAATAGCTCAATTTCTTTCGATGAGAGTGAGGTTGATTATTGGTTGTGTATTTCTTGGTCAATCGCTAGGTATGAAAATTGACCCTATCTTTCGAAGAAAATGCATATCGGAGGTTTTATTCGTTTAGTGGCAATCCACAATAGGGGTGATTCTACTACTACTATTATACCCAATTAAGGGTAGGAGGGATACGGGTTTTAGCCTTTTTCATCTACTCTTTTTAATCTACATGATCTTCTAAAAGAAGCATGGGAGACCATTAAAGATGATTTTGAGATTTTTGGTCTTAAATAAGAGAGCACACAAATATCTTTATTACTCTTTCAAGAAGATTTATTTAGAATTGGTTATCTTTCTGTTTCAGAATCACAGAACATCAATGAGAGTTTTTACAAGCAGGATGAGATTTCTCATGAGAACTCTTTCACATGTGCTGGAAATGGTGGTGAAGAGGAGATCATTGAAGAATTACCTCTACAGGTTGTTTTTCCCGAAGAGCATAGTCAGTTTATCAAGTCAAACTCTAGTGAGGAGAGTTATGTAATTATTAAGTACAAGATGCTTACAGATCGGGAATTGCCAGATCGCATACTTGAACCAGGCAATTCCTAGGAGTACCCGCATTAAATAAAAAATAGATCAGTACTAGGATCTTTTTGCTTGGGTAAGCGGGATTTGAATGGGTCATTTGCAGGGAACTTAACTTTAAACACTTTGGGCTACTTCAGAAATTGAGCTTGGATTTCTTATTGCATTTATCAATTTGAGTAGACGGGTTTTTATTTGTTCTCTCCAATCTTTAGCTCTTTTATTTTTTCTAGCTTATTTTGTTCTCTAATTAATTTCTCCCTTCATTAGCGTTTGAACTTTCAATAATTTTAATAAAATTTGGTCTTTCTTGTTTAAAAAAAAAAGCTTTTATATTATTCAAAAAATATTAAATGTTTCCGGTTGCATGTTCGGCATGACAATTCTTACGTGTTTTTTCCAAATAAATGATTTTTTAGAAGCTACACTGAGTAGCATCTGAGAAAAGTTTTTTAATATTAATTGGTCACAAAAGCTTGTATATCAAACGGAACAAAATCAAACAATCGACTTTTTATCAAATAGCATCCACCTTTTTCTTTTAAGATTTTACTCAGTCACTAGAAGCTAACAATTACTAAAGAGTTTACGAAATTGATCTTTTCAGCTAGTTGTGCCAAACATATCCTTAGTGCCTGTTTAATTGGTATGCCTAAGTCCTTACCTTCTAGCTTTTATACGTAGTACTATTTAAAAAGTCTCTAAAAGCTTCTAGTGAATGTTTGATATGAAAATTTTTAAGAACTTTTTAAAAAATAAGAGATCTTCTTTAAAAAAAAGATTTTTTTTAGATGCTACAGTGAATAATATCAGAGAAAAGTTTGTATCTTTTAACATTAATTAGTCCCAACAACTTCTATGTCAAACAAAACAAAATCGATCATTCGGCTTTTTATAAACAGCTACCACATTTTTCTTTTAATATCGTTTCAGTTACTAAAAGCTAACAATTGCTCAAAAGCTTATAAAAGTATCTTTTCAGCTAGTTGTTCCAAACATACGCTTAGAATAGTTTTATATTTTTAGTTAGGGGTTTTATTTTCTCACTCTAGAAATTGTGATGTTTTAATTGAACTTTTTTCAGTCCCAAATCATACCACAATTGTAAAATACATAGAGATCAAGCATCTATCAGTTTAGACCAGGCCAGAATAGACATAAACAAACTTGACCATATCAAATTAAAAAAATTCAGTGCAAGTAAAACATTCTTAGCTTAGATTTGTGAAAATATCTCTCCAAGATTCAAGCTTTCATTTTGCACTTTAAATGATTGCTTCTCATCTATTAGGAGTGTATTTTTCTACATTTATTACTTTATTTAAATTCAAAGTTTTAGCTATTTATGATTCTTTTCCATCATTTTCAATGGAGCCAAAGACTCATTATTTTTTGACTTCGGAATATGATAGAATAAAGCAAAATGGCTCGCTAAAGGAGTGCACGATAGGTTCCCTTTCTCCTTTTCGATTTACTCCTTAGAAAGGAGTGCACACTTAAAAAATGATTTTTTTTCCTAAGAAATCCGGTGTGGGGGACAAGGTTATCAAGCAAAAAAAATAAATTGAAATACTCCATATTTTCAAATACATATGACTTGTTATTCTTTTTTCAGATATTCACATATTGAATTTATATTCATACTTTGGCATTTCTTTTGACTAAAATTTGTTTCGTGCATCGCAGAGTGAGAATCTAATATAATTTACACAATCCTATGCGTGTAAGGAATTAGTGCAACTAATAAAACAAGAAGCGTACCTGTTTATTTACACGTACTAATGTTTACAATATGATTAATACGATGTGATGCAGAAAAGATTTGCATAGAGCCTGGGAGTTGTATAACAACACCAGGCGATAGAGACATAAATTACACCAGAAGATTAATTAGCTCTCACACAAGATGAAAGTAGCATAAGAGACAAAGGAGAGGATGGGTTGAACCGCAACCAAATTGATGATCATCTACACAGTGCAAGATGATGGTGTGTGAGATCACTTGTATTCCAAGATCATGTTGTTCTCTGGTGCCAGCCCAATGCAAGCCCGAAGAATATTTTCTAGCATCGCCCGCTGCTTCGACAGCGCATTCACCACTGGTGTGCCAGGTGGCACCTGTTCTCATTTTCCCGCCACACATAAACCAAACAATACATAGATCATTGAAAGCGATCCTTCAATTCTAATTAAGAGTAGTAGTGTAGGCAAAGAATAATCGGAAGTTCAAATGAAATAAAAAAAAATTAAGGCTCTCATGGGAAGGCTGCAAGTGCTTGCTGATTCTGCTTAATTATGAGCGGAATAATAAAGAAGAGGTATTGACTTACACTATTGGCGAAAACAAATTGATGTTACCAAACAGATCTAAGTCGGAAAAAACAGTAGGAAATCTGTAAACAAAGAGGCTGAGTTGGTGTTGCTAAGACTTACCAAAGGAGCCTTGGTAAGGTAGCTGAGAATGGTAGCCACAGGGTGGAAGGAGTGGAACTTGGCCTGCAAATATATGACGTTACACGGGAAAGCAATTCAATATTTTCGTAAGGGCACATTTGGTAGATAGATAGATACCTCATATTGGGATTTGAGCTGGATTCGGGAGCAAAGTTCAGCGAGGAGGACCAAGTCCAAGATGATGGGAGCGGCAAGAAGTGAATCCTCACAAACGTTGTGAAGAACAATGGTGTTCTTACCGCCCATGAAAATCTCTGAGGTGTACTCATCCATCGCCCTCTTGCTGTCTCCGACGTAGGGCACGTACTATTCATCACCAACAAAACATTCAATTCGATGAAAGTTTCGGTATCGATGAACAAATAAATGAACCACTCACTCCATCATTTTCAGTAATACATACATACATACTCTCTTCTAGCTGCTTCATTAGTCAGTTATTTATTTTACCTTGATGACGACTACATGGTCGGGATGTTCACCAGGTTCGTAGAGGATGCCGTTACTAGAAACCATGTCATCAACAACATTGCTCTTCGATATCTCCTTGGAGCGGAATGTTTGTGGAGCAGACAGATTCATCCCATCATTGTTACCCAGATGGTTGTAGCTCACTATTGATGTTGGCTGTTTCAAACCCAAACCCATTACCATTACGGCTCCATTTAAACATACCACATTACAACCCGAAGTCATTAGAGATGAAAATAGGGAGTCAAATTAGCTAGAAAGATAAACAAATGAAATATATGCTGTTGCTTCCTCAAACTCCAAGCCTTATTCTCAAAAGACTTCGGAACCGGCTAACCTGAATCGATCAATGATATCAGAACCAAACAAAGAAGAAAGATAAGAAAACTAAAAAGATAAAGTAAGATAAATTGAATAAAATAAAGACAAATATAAGATAAAAGATTAAGATAAGAAAATAAAATAGACAAAAGGGCATAAGAAATACGATAGTATAAAAATAACATAAGAGCATAGAAAGATAAAGAAGATAAAAGATAAAAGAAAAGAAAGGTGGAAAGAGAGAAAAGAGATCACTCGTCCAAGATATATTAAAACTCGAGTAATTTAATAACGAGTATTTATTTGTATGTATTATACAAACAATGATAAATCCAACTAAATACAAGGAAACTGAATTAATCAAATTTAACTTTCCATTCAAGAAAAAGCCAAACATAAAATATGTAAATAAAACCTCACTTAGCTTTCCCCAAAGAATTTCTAGGATAAAAACATGTCACTAAATTATAGACAAAATCCAAGATGTGTACTCTTAACAGGTAAGGACTGGAAGAATTGAAACAAACCAGTATAATCTCATCCCTATGTATACCTTGATACCAGCCCCAACCAGGAAATCTACCAGAACAGATTTCATTTTGGTCTGCCCACTCTTGAAGTCATCTCCACCAATCAAACTGTTCCTCCTGATAGCAAAATCAATAAGCCCTGGAAATTCCAAGATAAATTTAGGACTTCAAAACATATTGTGTCTTTGTATATCCATGACAGAGTTTGATACCCCAACCCCTCCTTTGACTACATTCTCTTTGCTCTGTCTGCCGTCACCTTTCAATTGGAATCAATTTGGTCTTCCATGATTCAATTTAGATTCATTCTCAAACTCGCCTATTTTCATCCCTAAAGGGCTAATAAATTGAGTACATATTATACTTTTTCTAGTCCTAAAATGATCTCATTTTGATGAACCGCAGAAAATACCCCTTCTTGTATAGAGTTTTTAAGGCTTAGTCCTCCGACTATAATGTCATAACACTTTGATACTCGGTTTAAAATTTTTATTTTTAATCTGTTGTGCGGGAAACACTTTGATGTCATAACTGTTTTTAAGTTTTTCATATTTAGTACTCCGACTTTCATAAAAGTAACACTCATTATGACAAAATCACAATAGAAGGATTAAGAGTGTCAACTTCACAATACTAGGAGACTAAATGTTAGAAACTTTTAAGTCCAAGACTAAGTGTCTCTTACAATATTCAAAGGACTGTAGTCCAAGAAACAAAAGAAAAGGTGAAGAAAAAATATATACCAGGCACAAAGGTGTTTTGTGGGCTTCCATTGATGAAAGGAACATTCTCCATGACACAGGCTATGGCATAAAGGGTAGACGGGGAAATCTCTGCTTCATTTCTTTCCAAGGCAGCCAACAGGTTTTCCATTGTATCGTTCAGCCCAGATATCACATTGCTGTATCGCTCTGTGTTGGCAGTCCATAGCACCACCACCTTCTCTACCTTGTTCTTCTCCTTAAACTCCCTGCCACCGCACCAAATATCCTTTTCTTATTCTTATTGGTAGGAGATTACAAGCAGGAAATTATGACATTTAACTATATCATTTATATCCAATTTTTTACCACATCCGTTCCACTTACCCCTAAATTTCACTTTCCACCCATGTATCATCCTGAAATTGCTTAGGACTAAAACACACGCATAGCTAAAAAATAGGACGAACTATGTTTTAATTCCCAAACAAAACTGATTTATTCATATTAAATGAATAAGTTTCTAAAACTTCCCGAACTAGGAGTGAATGAATCATCTTTTGAGAATAAAATAATGATAGTCCTATTTATAAACTTTATCCTTATTTTAGTTCCATTTAGGAAACTTTCTCATGTTAAACATCAACGTGGCCAGTTCGTATTAGCCCGCAATACAATATGCATACAGCACAATCGCGGGAAGTTTGTACTTGGATTAAAATTTTGGTCTCTTTTAGTCTCATTTAATTTGGTCTATTTAAGTAGATAAATGTCGATTTTATGTGTATTTTACCATTTTTAAGCCTAGTTCGATCCGGTCTGATTTGTTTATTTGATGTGATCTGGTCTATTTAAATCTAATATGATTCGATTTCATCCGGTCTGGGACTAAAAACAATACAATTAAAGGCATTCTAAATTTCACTATGTTCATCCCTTGTAACTTTGTAATTATTGACTTTCAAGTGAATGAGGATAAAGTTAGGGCAAAAATTTGGATTAATATTTTTTTTGTAAATTCATTTAATACATTAGTTGTTATGCTCACTTTATATATATCATATCAATGCACATTTTTTAAAATATTATATACTCATGACTTGGATAATTTTTTCCTAGAATGGTGCATTAATGACACGACATCTTGTAAATGTAACTGCTATATTAAAGAATATCATATGCGTGTACACCCATTACTAGTCATATAATGGTAAACGAACTTTTTAAGTCATATTATGGGAAAGTAGAGATGGGAGGTTCAATATACATATTGGTAGTACGTTATGATAAATGAAAAGCTAGAGTAGAGTAGATTGCATGCATGCATTAAAAGATATTGGGATGTATGCGTAGTAGCTTACTTGATGTCTTTGATGATCTGATGGACTTGTTGTTGCTTGGTTCCTGGGATGAGATGGTCAGCACGGGAGGCTTGGTTGGCCGCAATGAAATCAGGGTCAAAGATGCCCGGGAGAGGGACCATCGACTCCATGTACGGCCGCAGCTGCTTCTGCAGATCTATTTCAAACACCTTCGCCCTCGCCATCGCATCTCCCATGTTCATCTTGCTTATGTCCCACCCCCCAAACACTATCTCTGACGGCTTCACCTGTTCCATTTCATTTTTCATAACAATTAATCATATACTATCTTCGTCCCACCAACATTGGAACAACATATATTGCGGTTATTAAAAAAAGTAGGTTTATGTGATTGATATTTAATTGATACAGTAAAAAAACTCTACCATATATGAGACAATTTTAGCAAGGAAGAGAGTGTAATATAAAGCTCCTCTCCGCCTCTTGTAACACTTTCACTACATTTTCTTCATTAATGTATTTAAAAATTTTATTATAAGATTTGTCTCATTGTCAAATTTTAAAATATGATTTTTTTCATCTTTACTATATTAGTGGCCGGTTAAATATATTAATGGTCAAAGTCCATTGACAAACGTGAAATTCAAAGTTATGTTGCAACTTAATGAGAACAAATTTAGTATTACGGGGCCTCCTTGGCCCACCTCTCTAGCTAGTATTAGTCGGCTACTCAAACAACCTGCCGCCCGTGATGCACCCAAGGGCTGGTTCACCAATATTATTGCATCCCACCAACCTTGCCCCTTTGTAATAATAGCTTTAAGAGATTAATAGTATTACTCAGGATGTTTTCTTTTGGACTGAAATTTGTTGATCTGGTCGGCTCTGGTCTGGTCTGTTAAGTCTGGTCAAAAGTGGTCTGGTCTAGTCTGATAAATGTCTAGTCTTTGTGTATTTATAAATGTTCAAGTCTGGTCTAGTCTGGGACTGAAAACAATCCAAAAGAAAACATCCTCATACCAATAAGGCGCAACTCTTTTTTAGGATGCTCATATGCTAAGAATGTCAAGTTAAGTGTGCTTGCATAGGAGCAGTCTTTAGATGGGTGACGTAACTCTTCTGGAAAGTCTCTAAGTGCGCATAAATGAGGACAAAGTGCAAAGTCCGGAGAGTATTAGGAGTAACCACCTTAGATCATACAGGGTCGGGGTGGTAAACCCTAGCTTATAAAGGTAAAGTTCATAATCGTCTATTTTATTTAATGAGAGAATTACCCTAGGTATGACTAAAGCTCAATGAGTTTCCCAATCTATGACCTAATCAGTTTGTTTGTTAAAATAATATTGAAATACGAAATATTTAATTAAAATTCGAAATAATTAAATAATACTCCCTGTCCCTAAATAAACTTACAATTTTCCTTTTTCGTCCGTCTCAATTAAAACTCCCACTTTCCTTTTTTGGCAAACAATTTGTAGTTCACAGTAATTCTTACACATTTCTCTCTCCTCTGCACAACTCTCCACCACACAATACTCACTATCTTAAACTGTGCGCCCAACCTATTTGGAAGTTTTATTAGGGACGGAGGTAGTACATATTTTTTGTGGACAAATATACCCTCTATGTTATATCTATAAAACCCTAATTTTCTACCCTTCCCCCAAACGTACATACAGTCGCTGCCCACCCACGCATATAACCTCCGCGTATAACCTTCTCTGCCCACCCAGGCAGAGTCTTCGTCTTGTCATCCAGCCGCCGGCCACAGATCTCCGACCTAGGAGCACAGCCGAAGCCTTCCAATGATCAATCTCTGGCCTGAGAGCACAATCGCCCGCCCTAGGTGTGAAGGCGCCTCCCGATGTCAATCTGTCGTCCTCTGTCCTACCATGGAGACAAAGTTCAGCGAGATCCAAACAACGAAAAGATTTTCTTTCCTTCGAGGCAATTTCTTCTATAGATTTCACAGAAAAGATCCTCGAAGACGATCTACGGTTTCCTCTATAGTTGTTTAAGATTTTTGCAGCCCCAAATCAAGTTCTTTCCAAGAATTTCTAGACTTGCGTCCATCTTTTTTCTTTTCTTTATCCACGACTGATTTCAGGTTTAAGCCTCAAGGCTTTGGGTTATTGAAATCTCTGATATTATTATTGGGGTAGTTTTGAAATTTTTGAAAATCATAAAAGAAGGATTTGGCTGATCTGCTACATAGTGAAATTGTGAATTCTGGAGGATGAAGTGTTGTTTGACCTCTAGTTTTGAAATTTTTTAAAATCATAAAAGAAGTTTTGTTTGACATTTTGATAGTAATCAAAATGGATTATTTTTAACATGAAGATTATTGAGGCATTGAACATGGACAATGAATGAATGCATTGAATGTGTTGTGCAGTGATTCGAAGACAATAATGAGGAAGTACTGAAAAAAAGTGCAGTGATTATAACTAGTATTGTAGTAATGCAGAACAATAATGCAGTCATGACATGCATTATATTTAATTTGATATAAAACACTAAAATTATTATGAAAAAAATAAATAAAAAAGAACTATAAATAATGTTAGCCAAAGTGCAGTGATTATGACCGGATGTGCATTAATGCAGTGCAGTAATGTAGTGCAGTAATGTTGTGCATTAACGGCAATATAAAGTGCAGTAATTTTAATTGGACGAAATTAGTGCAAAATGCACATATTTTAAATAAGGGTATTTTCGTCATTCAACATTTAAATATAAACGAATTTTCTATTTGTTTTAAGATTTTCGGTCATACAAAGGTATAAAAACTAGTTAGGTCATAGATTGAGAAACTCGTTGAGTTTTAGTCATATCCCGGTAAATTTCTCTTATTTAATATGTAAATATTATCTTGTGGTTAGGTTATATAGACTACAACTCTCAAATTGTAATACTCCGTAATATATATTGATGTACACTCACATCTGAATTAATATTCATTCATCAAATTTCTCTTATTTAATATGTAAATATTATCTTGTGGTTAGGTTATATATAGACTACAACTCTCAAATTGTAATACTCCGTAATATATATTGATGTACACTCACATCTGAATTAATATTCATTCATCATTCTTTTAATCTCCATATGGTATATGAGCATCCGATCCCAATCAAATATATTTTCTTCATTCTCTCCTCCCTCCATCACTAATATTCTTTCGTGTCAATGAACTTGAGATCACCTTTGAACAAATGCTTGTCCAAATTCATATCCTAAACACCAACCTCGCGAATCCTCGTCAATCTTGCATTGGCATTACTTGCCAACTACATGTGCTGGCAACTCTAGATCCAATTCGTTCTTACTAGCTAGCTAGCTACAACCTTGAAGGCTAGCTTTGTGCGTCGTTGATGGTTCTCACCATTGACGGTGCAACTACCCCTAAAACCTATAAAGATGCTCAGGATACTCTTTCTAAAATCTACACTCAACCTTCAATAGGTATATCAAACAACTCCAATCTCAACTTCCGAAATATGAGGGTGTTTGGAACTGATTCTGCTTCTCCTTCTTTTTTAAAAGCAGAAGCAGAATCAGAATCAGTTTTCAGAAGTTGGTACCTCCCAGCTTCTAAAAAAACTGATTCTGAGAGTAAATTAGAGTTCCAGAAGTGCTTCTGGAATTTCACTCAAACACTCCAGCTTATGCTTCTGCTCCCTGAAGGAGCAGAATCAGTTTTGAGAATCAGATCCAAACACCCCCTATATACTATCGTATGTATCAAGAGATCCAAACATGTAAATGAGTGTATATAGAGAGCGGTTCCGATAAGAACGAACTCTCAGGAGAGAAATAAAAATGAACCTGGACCGTTAAATTGTACTACGTGGAACTGAATTGTGCATTTAATGAAACTCAAATGTGCAACTGCTATTTTATGAGTTTATAACATGCAACACTTTGAACCTCAATATGCAATGCAAATAACGTCAGGGTGCAACGTACAAACATTTGCACAATAAGCACGCTTTGATCTTTCCCATATATATATATATATATATATATACACACACACACACACGGAGTATATACTAATAATAATAATAATAATACCTCCGTCCCAATTTACTTAGTCATCTTTGACTTTTCTAGTCAAAGATGGTAAACTTTGACCAATTATTTTAACTAATATTCCTCCGTCCCAAATTCTTTTGCAAAGTCAATATTTTTTGGTCAACCAATAATAAAAGTCAAGCCTTCTTATCAATAATTAATTAAATCTTTAATAATTAAAATTTACATATTCATACATTACATTGAAATCTCTTCAAAGTTGTAAACTCCAAATTGGAATATAATTTAAAATTGGCATTCTAATTAAGCGAACAAAACGAACATGTTTGATCAAGAAAAGTTAAAGTTGCAACTCAATTTGGGAAGGAGGTAGTATATTTATGCAAAATTTAATAATTTTATACATTTATGATAGTATTTTTAACAAAGAACATATTGATATCATTTTCATATTATTAAGGGAAAACTATCAAATAAGTCCTCGAACTTTCATAAAAAGGTCAATTAAGTCCTTCTTCTATAGGAGGTTCTGTCCGTCCGTCGCGATTTGGGGCAGTTCCCGGTGGAGTTTTTTGATGAAATTTTTTGAGCATCTGGTTTACCCATACCAAATTTCAGCTAAAAATTCAATTGGGAACACATTCAAATTAATACTCGAAGATAATTACGCATTTTTTATGAAAGTTCAAGGACCTATTTGAGAGTTATTAAAAATTTTTTCTTCATATAAACATATAAGTAAAAGTGAAATTTGGGTAAGTAAAATAGGAGGGAGGTGAGGGAGTAATACATACATACCATGGGAAGAAGAGAGTTGAAAGGGGCGAAGATCTCCTCGCCATGGAAAGAGCCGAGCCTGACAGAGGAAGCTTGGGTGAGGGAACCAAAGAAATTGGCGCGCTGGAGCTTATCCTTGGTGGGCCAGGAAATGCCCTCCCGGTTGGCGATGACGCCGCCGGTGAGGGTGGAGCCGTTGTTGCCGCCCCAGCCGACGAGCATGACCCCCAGCCTGGGGACCCGAGTGTCGGTCTTGAACTCGTACCTCACGGTCTTGGGTTTGACCACCCACTGGTCCCGCTGCGCTTCATGCACCATCTCCGTCGTCTCGTAGTTGTAAACAGAGTGTATCTCCCCTTCTCCGTACACAACGTTGGGGCTCTCCACCTTAAACCTCTCCACGAACATCCTCTCCTCGATCCCCACGTACCTTGCTAGCTAATTGATGATGAATGATTTGGAATTGAAGAATCTTCAATTCTGATAGATCTTCACTCTCTTAGCTCTCGCTTTCGCTTTGGCTACTGCTGTAGTCTAGTGACTGAGTGGATGGACGATGGGTCTGCTACCTACAATTCAATCATCTGCCCCTCCTTAATCCTTATATGCCAACATTTCCATCTCCCTTTCACTTTTTTACATACCATCACATTTGTTCACTTTTTAAATAAAATCATACTCCCTTCATCCCATAAAGAAATTACACACATTTAAAGAAAATACATTTACCAAGAGGTAAATTTTACTGTTTTGACACTATTTCAACACTGTTTTGCACTGTTTGTCACTGTTTTGATTTAGATAACTTGTCATTTAAAGAAACGCAAACTTCTTTTTATCAATCAAAAAAAATTGATAAAACGTAACACTAGTTATGACTTTCACTATAAATAAGATCTGCTCATAGATATGTGAACTTCACTTTTACAATATTTAAAACAAAAAAAGTGGAAAGAATGGCGGATATAATACTACCACAAACTTAAAAGTCAAAAATAAGACTCATTTAAAATCTGGACAAAAATAAGACTAATAATTAATGAATAGGCAGAAACACCCTCACATCTATCTAACAAATTCTCTCACAAATCTTCCGATCGTCTCTTTTCCTTCAGCATCGCAGCATCCATCACCGCATTAGGACGACCAATGAAGCTCTGCCGTCTCCGATGAAGCACCTCCAACGCCGCAGCACCTCCATCGTCCAAGCGCACCATCTCCGTGTTCAACTTCTTCATTTTGCTCTTCTTCTCGAACCAATTGGACTTCGTCCGATTTGGGTGATGAGGGACGAACGACCATTGAGATGGATATCAGACGGCGGCTAAGGTTTGGTGACTACGTGGCAGATGGTGGCGGTGGTAGCGAGGCAACGACGCTGTTGGATCTATTCATGGCGTGCGGCTAGGGTTCAGAGATCTGGCTGCTGGATGTGGCGGCGGATCTGGCCGGTGCAAGTGGCGGCGGATCTGGACGGTGCAAGGGGGTGGCGGCGGATCTGGACGGTGCAAGGGGTGGCGGCTCTGTCAATGGAGCCTAGGGGTGGGCTGGTGGGGTAGGCGGCAGATCTGGGCGGGCATGGCTGTGGAGGAGGGTGGTGGCAGAGAGGGCTGCGTAGGTGGTTGGGGGTTGGGAGGGGGCTATGGACGTGGCTGAGAACTGGGGAGTCGAGTCGGAGTTGGGCGGTGGTGGTTGGCGGCGGCGCTGGTGGTGGCAGTTAGCCGGCGGTGGTTTTCAGCGGTGGTTTTTGGTGGCAGGTGGTGGTTTCTGGTGGCAGCCAGCGGTGGTTGTTTTAGGATAGGTAATTACAAGTCCGTAAATAGTTGAACTATGTAAGTGTAATTGTAATTGTAACTGGACGGATTGGGTCAGTGTAACCGGACGGATTGGGTCAGTGTAACTGGACGAGTTAGATAACTCTAATTAAACGGATCAGGTAACTATAACTGGACAGATCTGGTAACTGTAATTGGACAAATCAGGTAACTATAACAGGACCAATGAACGTTCGTCATTATCGGATTTTGGTCACTATCGGGATTTGGTCATTATCAAGTTTTGGTCACTATCGTACTTTGGTCATTGTCGGGTTTTGGTCACTATTGGGCTTTGGTCATTATCTAATTTTGGTCACGAATTTTGGTCACTGGTGAATTTTGGATTTTTGGTCACTAATGATTTTTGGTCACTGACGTTGGTAACTGGACGGACGAACGTTGGTCACTGGTCGAGGTTGATTACTTGACGACATTTTTGGTCACTATTAATTTTGGTCACTAACAGATTTTGAATTTTTGGTCACTAATAATTTTTTGTCACTGGAGGATTTTGGTCACTGACGGATTTTTGGATTTTTTGTCACAAATGATTTTTGGTCACTGGGTGGATTGGTCATGGTCACTAGTCAGATTGGTCACTGGACGGGTTGACGTTGGTAACTAGGTAGAATTTTTGGTCACTAATGATTTTGGTCACTGACGGATTTTTGGATTTTTGGTCACAAATGATTTTTGGTCACTAGATGGATTGGTCATGGTCACTAGTCAGATTGGTCACTGGACGGGTTGACGTTGGTAACTAGGTAGAATTTTTGGTCACTAATGATTTTGGTCACTGACGGATTTTTGGATTTTTTGTCACAAATGATTTTTGGTCACTGGGTGGATTGGTCATGGTCACTAGTCGGATTGGTCACTGGACGGGTTGACGTTGGTAACTAGGTAGATTTTTTTGTCACTAATGATTTTGGTCACTGACGGATTTTTGGATTTTTTGTCACAAATGATTTTTGGTCAGTGACGAATTTTGGTCACGATAATGGTTTTGGTCACTGTGGCGTTATTGTAGACTAATGGGTGAGATTCTATTAAAATAAGGGTATAATAGTCTCTTAACCCATTGTTAGTCTCATTTTTGGAAAATTGAAATAAAGGTCTCTTTTTTGTTCATAGCTCTTTTTTTAGTATTATTTTAGACATAACCCCAAAAAAGTGAGAACTAATTTTCAAGATATATAGATCAAATAATCCATTCATCCCTTTTTAGTTATTAGTCATCTTTTAGTAGTCAATGTTGTTAAACTTTGATCAATAATATATTTATATATGAAAATTGTTTGAAAAATATTCCCTGTTAAAAATAATATCATAAAATTATACTGAGTAAATTAATTATATGATGTGAGTTTTCTCGCACTTAAAATAGATCGTAATATAGTGGTGTAAGTACGAGTATCGTCTCCACAGGGACGGACAAAAGGGAATCAAGAATTAATTAAATTCAGCGATTAAAAAGAAAATAAAATAAAAGCGTCGTGCGAGATTGGTTGGTTTGGAAAATAAAACTAATGCGAACAATTAACCTAGGGGGTTCTTTCTAATTAATGACGAAGGGAACAGGGATCGATTCCGGGGTAACCAGATTTCTGGCAGATCAGGCCTAATTACATGAAATTAATTTAATTGAGCCTAGCTAATCATTACTAAGTTCTTACCGCTCTCGCGGCGTAGAGTACAATAATTTAGGGGACTAGGCTGATCTCTCATGCGACAGGATCCTAAATTATTGCCAAGACGAGCGAGCTTACGGCCCCTTAATCGCTACTAATCTCTTAGCGAACGATTAAGTGTGTGTGAATGTGTCCTAGAACAAATTAGATCTCTCTTAATTTATTCTACATGCAATTGTAGTTCTAGTCGCGATTCTAGGTTACAAAAGATATCAATTAAATTATTCAAACACAAATTAAACGGCATTCATGCAATTAAACCGAAAAGAATCTAGCCATACATCATGATTAACCCCTTCATCAATCCCAAAATCCCTAATTAAAACTACTCACAATTCATAATTGAAGAATCAATAGAATTGGAATAAAAAGAATTAATTGTCATTAATTAAAAAGATGGAACTTACAAAGAATCCCAAAAGATTGATGAACAAGGCTGAAAAGCCCTCTAAAACTCGTGCTAGGCACTCTCTCTAAGCCCCCCCCCCCCCCTCGAAAACGGGGTTTACAGGCTGTTTAAATAGGAAAAACGGAGCAATTCGGGCGAAATTAGGATTCCAGGGGCAACGCACGGGACCAACGCACGGCGTGCGTCCCCCAGTGCGTCCGGAGCATAGTCGCGTAAAAATATGTAACGCACGGCGTGCGTCCCCCAACGCACGGCCGTGCGTTGCTGGCAGTAGGTTCTTTGCTCTCTCGCCTCAGACGCACGGTCGTGCGTTCCTCTACGCACGGCGTGCGTCAAACTTCCAAATTTGACAAAACTCCCTTCATGAAAGTTGTAGATAATGAAGTCATCTATCCACCCCAATTTGCCAAATGTGATTTTAATCATCCAATCAAGAGATATGATTAAAACGGTGGAAGGTGTCATTCTGAAATCGCAGCAGGGATCATCTGACTTCATCATCTGTTTTCACCTTCTTCCTCTCAGATTCTTGGAATGATGTATTCATGTGATTTGTAGCTCTTGAAGTTGGCTTTCATGTGGACTTTGAATCGTGTTCTTTGGATGCTTCTACAAAGAGATATGCTTGAACGATTGACAGAAGGTCATCCTGAATGCCGTTTTCAAGTTTTATTCATCTTCTTTTGACCTCATAACCAATCCTAGAGCTCGGTTTACCTTCAAATCTTCATTGTGAACCTCCCAGTGACCTCCAAATCTCTCAAATCTTTCTTGAATGTCTCTCTAATCATCCCGATTGTTCCTCAAGTGCCGGTGTCGGGCTCAAATTCCCTGATTTTGACTACAAACAACACAAAACTCGAACCAACTCCCGGTAAACATAACTTGGGCTAAAATTGAGACTTGCAACACCTTAAAGCTGGGAAAACCATCAAAAGCTGATCTCAACACGCATCAAATGCGTGTCTAAATACAGACTTATCATTATACGAGTTTCGTAAAAATATACTACATATTAATTAAAAAAAGGGAGAGTTCCCGAAATGGGACTAAAAAAGTTTGAAAATTCCAAAATAGGACTGTCATGTTTTTATTCCCAAAATAGGACTAATTACTGCAAAATTTGGAAAATACTGTCATGTTTGAAGTCTGGTACTGCCAATACATGACAGTAATTAGTCCTATTTTGGGAATAAAAACATGGAAGTCCTATTTTGGAATTTCTAAACTTTTTTAGTCCCATTTTGGATAATATCTCTTAAAATAATTAGTCAAAGTTTATCATTATTGACTAAAAAGAAAATAAAAACAATGACAATAGGACACAACTACTGTCTGTAAAGCCTTCCCTAGCTATACATGATGTGGGGGCCCTTCTTACATCCATTCTGGTCGGTCCAAGAATTATTTAATAAACTCGATTTGTAATTTAGCATCATCATTGAATATTAACTTCAACCAAGAGATTTCTATTAAAAGCTTAATTAACTTTATGAAAATAAATTCCACGCAAACCACATTAATCCTAAGCATTAATGAAATAAATATTGTTGGTAATATTGAAATTGGAAGAATAATAAAAATATTATATTGAAAATATACTACCTCTGTCCCACTAAGATTGGAACGGAAGAAGGTGGCACGCTTATTAAGAAAAGTGGGTTTGTGTGGTTGATATTAAATTAATAAAGTAAGAATAAAGGAAGAATGATTTACAACCACACAATCTTTACCAAATTTGGTATGGGACAATCGTAGTGGACTTCCCAAAAAGTTAAAATGGGACAATCTTAGCGGAACGGAAAGAGTATTTATTAAGGAAATAAAGAAAAACTATATGAAAATAGTTAAAATAGTTCTCTTCAACAATTTTAGCTAATTTATTTAGAAAATTAAGTCAAACCTTATATATTATAACATTTGTATGTTAAACTTTCTGCATTTGGTGCAGAAAAGGGCATTTGGAAAAGTATAAAGAAACTAAAAAGGATCAGCAAGTTTATTT